AAGCATTTCAATTTTATTTGCACTATTTACATGAAATTTGTTCGCACCATTTATATAAGTCTTAGTTACAGTATTTATACACAAATTTATGCACAAATCTATCGTACATTGCATTATTATTTACATTATTTGCATGGATTTTAAGTATTCTTATATTTTTATATAAGGAACCTTTCTCTACCCACCACCGACGGATGTGCGTATACTTATTTTGTCATAATGTTTGCAGCACGAAAAAAGAAGTTTCAGAGTCCCCACAAACTATATATATTCTTGATCAGTAGAATTCCGAATCGATTAAGCCACGTCCGCCTGCACACGTCCACAGCAGAGCGTAAAGTGAACGCAACTGCGTTTCTCTGAGCAAAAGTTTTTGATCATGTTTGCATTGAAAGGATAGACAAATTGTTGGATTATGCGGATCCTAAACTGGACTAAAGGACAACGAGCGATTTATAGCTATTTCAAGAAAATACAGAAATATACTCAGTGGTGGTAAGAATTCATTATCTGGTTGTTAACAACAGGAGTGATAATACCAGGATTATTAGCTACAGCGCTTATAACCGTTGAACTATTAGCTAAAAGGAAAAACGGGGAGCGCACCGTCATCAAAGAACTAGGCGACGAGGGGCGTACAAGTCCCCCCTTGGAAGGAAAGTTGAGTGGAGAAGCAGCTACGGCTACCTTGATAAAAACAACATTTCCTTGCCTATCTCAGCCAGACCCATTTCTGTTTGCATAGAAATACTATAAAAGCCTATGTACCGCTTTCTACAGTCAGAACATGACCAAAGTAACTCTTTTCAAGGGTCCAATACTGCTATAATATGTTTAACATACCGTTACGGAAATCCCAAATCCAGTCCGTTCCCGCTAACGAAATAAAGAATTCCCTAAAAATGGAGCTGCCGGCCGAAAACGATTAGTGGAAAAACAGACAGGGAAAAACCAAGTGAACTTTCGCAAGCGCATTATGCAGCTGCCCGCCGAGGAAAACGAGCACCAGAAAAGCAGATCAACGAATTAAAAATGAAACCGTAAAATAAGGCACTAGTAATATGATGGTAAAAATGTACATAAATAGAATATTTGTGGAGGGGAAGTTAGTAAAAAAAGAAAATTTTAGTTAAGCAATCGAAAGTATTGCCAAAAACAAATTATGAATAATCCTACATTTGAAAAAATATAATTGTAAATAAAAGAACTTTGAACTGTATTTCTCTTGGCGAAAATGACCACGATCCAGTGATACGGACTGTATCTTAGAAAAACGAATTTCATAACAATACCTTAACATACATTCATTTTAATATAATCTTACTCAGCATATACAGTTTTAACGTGCTCACATTAATGTAAGCATTTATATTTTTATTATTACATTTACGTTAATTGATATAATTTTAATTGTTAGTATTGTGGCATTATTTGCAGTTATATTTTGTTACAATTTTTCTATAAACGAGTACCAATTGAATTCATTTGAAAAAACCTCTGGTCATTTGGTGGGCTTCGGAATTTCCGTCAACCATAAAAACCAAGCATTCTGCGGAAGTCGCGAATCCATAGTTTTCGCGTAGACCGAATTGGATTCAAAGAAAGTAAGGATTTAAGTATTTTATTTGCCAGTAGACGTAAAAAACAAGTCTGCGGGAATGTGACTATAGGTCGGATGAATAATTGCAGAATCGAACTAGAATATTTATTTATTTATTTATTTATTTATTCCACTTATACAAGAAACTCAACTAAAACAAAATGGCAGTCGAGTTCAATTGACTCTTAAGTAAATCTTAAAATTATTTAATAATAAAACTTAGTATAAGTACAATAAAACAAATAAGGAGGAAAAAAAAAGAAAAAAAAAAAAAAAAAAGCATGTACACAATTAGCATAGAGCCACGCCCACAACCGATACAGGACCAAATTGCAAGTGAACCCCTAAGCCATCGCAAACATGCATAAGCTTGGCAACCGATAATTGTTAACAACAAATTAATTTTCGACTCATAATGACAAAATCTAAGGTTAAATCAGTTTAAGTACGACATAGGTAAATCGCGCTTGTTGAGTAATATTGCTTTAATAGACTTTAAAGAGTCCGTTAATGAGAATAGATGATAGACATCATTTAGGTTCTTGCAAACAACTCTGAGCGGGTTAAACAGTTCAAAGTTATATTTGCATTGACTAAGCTTTATCAACATAAAGTACCTAGAGAAGCGGTTAGGGACATTAAAGCAAATCTCACGAAGTAATGCGGGCGAATCAATTGCACCATTTATTAATTTGATTAGGAAGGAAACCCCAAGAACAAATCTACGTTTCTCGAGTGACGGTAAGGATAACAGAAGCAACCTATATTCATAGGGTGGAAGAGGGGAAATCGGGTCCCAACCCAAATTCCTAAGTGCAAACAGCAAGAATTGCTTTTGTATAGATTCAATTGAACCAACGTAGCATCTATATGAAGGAGACCACACAACAGAGGCATACTCAAGAATAGGTCTAACCAAACACGTGTAAAGCCTTTTAGTAATATAAGGATCATCAAGCTCTTTGGACCACCTCTTTATAAAACCAAGAGCGGACCTAGCTTTGCTTAACGAGGACTCAATATGCAAATTGAAACGTAACCTATAATCGAATAGAACGCCTAAATCAATGAACGAATCGACGTCTTCCAACCTGTGCGAATCAATGAAGTATTGGGTACTAAACGACTTCCTTCTTAAGAAAGAAAGCTTCTTACATTTATTTAGATTTAGCTTCAGAAGATTGAGGGAGCACCATGCAACCAAATTGTTCAAATCACTTTGAAGATGATGTGATTGCGATTCTACGGAAAAAGAAGTAAACAGTTTCACATCATCAGCATACATTAAAATCTTACTGAATTTAATCACGGAGGGCAAATCATTGATGTAAAGATTAAATAAAATGGGTCCCAAGTGGCTACCTTGAGGTACGCCAGACGTCACGGGAAATTCATCCGAGGTAATGAGGTTAAACAAAACCCTGAATGATCTACCATACAGATAAGAGCTTAACCATTCAACTAAGAAGAGAGGAAAGCCAGAGGTCTGGATTTTAAATCTAAGAAGTCTATGATTAACCATATCAAACGCCTTGCTAAAGTCAGTGTAAATGACATCAGTGCGAGAACCACTAGAAAAAGCCTTGAAAACATGAGAAGTAAACTCCAACAGATTGGTCACCGTAGATCTTCCCTTTCGAAAACCATGCTGGAAAGGAGAAATATACAATTTCATGGAAAAGGCTATATGCTGAGCCACAATTCGCTCGAACAGTTTAGGTAAGACACTCAACTTGGCGATGCCTCTGTAGTTCTCTACAAGTTGCCTACTACCACTTTTGTGAATAGGAATAAGGAAAGAAGTCTTCCAACACAAAGGGAAAACACCTAAATTCAAAGACTTATTAAAAATCTTTGAGATAACATCACAAAGCTCGCCAGCACAAGATATAAGTACACATGAGGGGATCCCATCGGGTCCAGGCGAACAATTATATTTCAGAGAGTTCAATCCTTCAAAATATATTTTTTTACTTATTTTTCATCTCCATTTTTGCTCAGTCAGTTAACAAGTTATAGACCTGAGCAAACGGTTTAATTAAAAAAGTAAGAAAGCTGTATTCGGTTCGGGTCGAATATCGCACACCTACCATTACACTTTTCTCATTCTATTCTCGAAGTTTTTTATTTGATAGCCATATCGCTGGTGTAATTAAGAAAAATTACATCACCAGGTCCAGGCCTACCATATTCATTTTAGAATTCAGCCATTTCTAGGCAGATAATTTTATTATTTATTTGAGGAATGTACAACATAGTCTTGTTTGCCATATGATAAATAAGCGTAATATCTCAAAAAAGTGAAAAAGTAAGTCTTAATTATTTGCAACTCTGTATAGACATGGCCGATTTATCCATTTTTGCACGTAAAAACATTTTATAAATTGTGAGTAACGAGTAAACACCCACAAATTTTTGTTAAGAAAACCGGTTTGCATTCACCTTGTGCACTACTGCGGTCTTATGCTTTGATACCAACCTCTGTGCAAAAATTTCCAATGTGCTTATCAACTTTGAAGTCGATATTTTAATTGTTGCTAGAGAGTACTAACAACAAACACCACACGACACACAGATTGACAGGCATTGATTGATCAATTCAGAATTTTACGCGGATAAAGAAAATACATACTTTATAGGTTCTCTGCCGCTTCTTTTTGGGTGCTACATTCATAATGAAAAAACAAAATGAAATCAAAAATTTAGGTTTTATTTTGATTTTTAGAAGTTGATTAAAAAGAAAAAATTTCATTTTAAAACTTTATACCTTCTCATAAATATGTTATTAATGTATAAAATAAAAAGACAAAATTCAGCGCTCAATTTTACAATGGAATGAATGTAACTGGAAACAACAATTGACTTAATCTGAATCTGCACGCAATTCACGCGGTCGAATTAAATCGATCTTCCTCTTGGCTAGCTGTAACAGCCAATTGACTGCGACTTATGTACGGCTTTTGTCATTCGAAAAAATAAAGGGTAGATTTCACATTTGTTTGTTCACAATGGTACAATCAACAACAAAATCATGCGAGCATAAATAAAAGCGAAATTATCCCAAATTTTTGCTAAAATGACATAAAATAAAGTAATTTTATATAACTCACATTGTTTCATATTTTTACTTTTTAGGAAATCTTTAAAATGTGAACTTGAACTTTGAATTTTAATATAAGTAATTTTACTTTATTTTATATAATAGGAATAATTAGGAATACATCAACTTTCCTATAAAGGATGTACAATGTTTTAAAATGAATTGCAAACCATTCCTAATTCCGCTTATAAAGAAAATCCACTTTCTTAATTTTCACAAAACGTCTTAAAGCGGATTTCTTCTTTACATCTTTTATTTTATGTTTTCAGTTACAACCTAGCAGCTCTGCTTCCAAGCAATAATCAGCTGTTTAATCTTTCTTTAAAAAAGTGCTTATGGATCAAGCGCGTAGCTTTTGTATAAAATTTGAGAAGTATGTACACAAATTTAATCAGAAAACAACTGCTTAAAAGCATGACGAAATTTTGGCATCTACAATCGATAAAGTGTTCGGTCAGAATAACTAACACAGCGCACTCAAACGTCGACCAGCTCAAATTAAAAAGCAGGTTTGGAAGAGAAGTAAGAACATATTGCAACAATTATACGGAGGCTTCAAATCAAAGACAATGCTCGGATATTAACAATACGAGGAATGGTAAAGAAACCTCTTTGGAAAGTTATGAGACTGAAAAAGTAAATGGAGAATATGTTGTCAACGTCAACGCTGAAGCCGAAGGGGATGAAAATGTCACTATTAAAAATTTGTTATATGATGAGCGTCAAGATGATATAATGGAATTATTACATTCTTGTGAAAATTGCGCAGAGGTACAAATAAATAAAATGTCCATTTACAATAATGTTAAAATTTTAAACTTTTTAATTTTTAGTTGAATAAGTTGGTTCTTAAGTTCGCCGATCGCCTGAAAAAGGAGCACGTCATCCAGAGCGTAATTTTGATGGGGAGCTTGACGAAGGACGCGTTGAACGAAAATTTATTAAGATATTTACTAACGCGCTTAGAGCCTTATATACTTGATCTTAATATTAATGAAGCGAGTTGTACTTTTTTATATTTACGAAAAATGCAAGTGCCTAAAACACACCCCGTTATGTGTGGCCTTCTGACGAAAGCTTTAGACTCAGTAAATGATCCGTTGGAATTTGTTGATTTAGCAGCTGTATCTCAACTGGCGGTGGCTATTAATACTGGACGTGACTTTTTTACTCCGATACTGTGCGCAAATTTTATAAATCGCATTCATAAGTATATAAAAAAGTGTCGAACGGCAGAAGATGCTCGTTTGTTGGCCATTTGCGTTTTGAATTTGCAGCCACTCATTGACTATGAAATTCTTAACGCATTTAAAGAGCGGATCAGCATCTTGTTACAAAATGGTGTAATCTCTGCTAATTGTCCTAAAGTTATTGTAAAACTATTGAATATGTTAAACATAGGCGTTTGGTCCCATAAGAATACTGCTCTAATTAGAGATTTGCTAACAGCCTTAAAACCTTGCGTAAAACAATTGGAAGGTAATGTTTTGAAAAATGTATGCCGCATTTACCTATATAACATGGAGCCGGCAACGCTGCACGAATCTCTAGCTGTAGCCCTTGAAGATTTATTAAATAGAGAAATGTCACCGGAGGCTTTGGCTTATTTTGTACCGTTCTCTGAGCCAGTACGCCGTAACGCTCTGATCAATACTTTCAAAACATTTGTAAATTCTTCGAAAGTTTGGGAGCATTCAAATTCCACAGCTCATTTATTCTCTGCTCTCCGAGCTTTAAAAATATCGGATACATCCATTTGCGATATGTACTGGAATGGAGTACTTAAGGAACTCAATTATGCATCGGAAACAGACATTGGCCAATTACGTTTTTTGCGCCATTGCCATCGTTATATGTATTTTAACAACAATCTTGGTGGCACTTATCGGCATTTAGGTGTCGAACAGCGTCTCAGCCAAATGGCCATCAGAGCTATAAAATACGATGTATTTGGTCGGATACCACAAATTTTTGCTCGCTTAGCTTCCTTTGTTTTCGCTTATGGTCACACACCGCACTACGTGAAAAAATATCCGAATATACTATTATCAAAAATTATAAATATGGCTGAACAATTCACTCCTGGCGACTGCTTTCTCATTAGTCGTGGGCTTTATATATCGTTGGAGTTGCGGTAATAGAAACTATCAAAACAGAAATTAAACTGATAACCGCCCCGTCTTTCAGATATCGCTATCAAATACCCCCTCTGGTGAATATGCAGTTAGCTACAATTGATAGTGTCTTAGCCAGTTGTGCGGAGCGATGTTTAAATATTAGCGAGGAAAATCAGCACTCCCTTCATGACCTGAATTGGCTGGTTCGTTGTTTAAGCAATCGAAAAAGTGAGACGAGTTTCATTTCTTTTCAAATTCACACAAGAAAAATTCACTTTTGGCAGCATTCCAGCTTTAAAAAACAGTGTAATCTATCATCGCATATTGGCTAAGTACAAAGACGTTAAATGTGATGATTTAAACTCACGTATTCTCAAGGATATGGCCTATATTTTCACAACTACTAATTATCTGGTACCCGAAATTCTTGAGTCCATGTTAGAGTATATTACAAATAACTACGAGCATATTGGCGGTGAAACTGTAGAGAAAGTCTTAACATGTGCTTATAATCTAGGTTATATCCCAAAATCGTCTGAACCTCTACAAAAAGCAAGTTTAATAATGTTAAGGTAAATGCAAACAACTACTACGCTTCTTTGTTTACAACCGGTCCTGAAGTAGATTTCTGATAGATAAATTTAACCATTTTGTTTATATTATTATTATTACAATTAATTGTCGCCAGAGAAATAAATTTAAATATTAAATTCCTAAAGCACTAGCATGTATCTAAGGCTATCGGCTTTATGGAAAACTCCACCCCACTTCAGTTTTGAACCCACGGAGTTGTTAGTGGATATCCTTAACCTACTCGGCCACTCGACCGGATGTTTTGTTTCTAACATCATAAAGCTTTTTGAGCTGATCTAATTGAATTCGTTTTAAAAATAAGTAAAAACATTATAATCAGGCAAATGTGATCTGAAAAATCATTTGGGTTAGGCTTAACGAATCTGTTTTAAAGTAAAACAATTATAATTGGGCAAAGGTGACAATTAAAAACTCTACACCACTTAGTATTATTTTTTATTTGTTTCGTAATAAAGTGCCAAAAATTACATAAATACGCTTATGAGTAGTAGGGTCCGAAAAATCGCTGTTATGACGGAGAGGTTAGTCCTTCGTCATATAAATAACTACTTGAGATTGAGATTTTTTTGCGGTTTGTACGATCGCATGAACTTAATATACTCCGCAAGTGAAGTGGGGAATAATAAACAAGTGAGCGCAATATAGAAAAACTCGATGTATATCCATCAATAAGTTACAGATGATATGAAAATGAAATTTTACAGAAACATTTACTGAAAGTGTTTAAATATATTCAGCGAAAATAAATTTATTAACAAGCATCAAATTTAAGAATCTCTGAAAATATTATAAGTACCTAAAAACAATATAAGCACTTTTTGTAATTTTACATGTTTTTCCCTGTAGAGATTTTAATTATATGAACGGCTTATCATTGGTGCAGGCTTGCTTGGCCCTATGTTTTTACAAAGCCATTTCCCAGGAACTAATTGATAAAGTGTTCTGTGTTAATTTTATAGAACGCGTTGAAAATGAAATACAAATGTGCTACTCGAAGGTGATGTTGAAAAATTTTTTTGCGATATTCATTTTTATTATTAAGCTCTCTTGTTTTTTTTTCAGGCCACTTACCCAGAACGTGTTTTGAATTTAGTTATGCAACTAAATCGTTCCGTCTGTTTAGACTATCCTGAATGTAATGTTCCCTGGTTTCAACAAAATTTTATCGAAGCTCATGTGTCTAACAGTTTGTCTATACCTTATAATCTTGAAAACAATTTTCGTTATTATTATATGCTATATACTATTTACAGAACCTTTCCATGAAAGTACTTTTAGCCGCGACGTAAGGAAATTCCTTGAAACATTGTTACAAGACGAATCCTATTTCCGTTGCAATCACGTGACGCCGTATGGTTATCAAGTAAGTGTTAACTGAAATACACGTCCTCGCAAATGATTCGTTGCTTACGTTTATGTAGTTTGGACTAAAGATAAAAAGGCAGCAAAATTTATTCAATAATTAGGATTTAATGACATCCTATAGTCCCCAGTCCTCAGAAGAATAAATAAAAAGTATTGATAAAAAATGTAAAACAACATGTAAAAGCAGAAGAAAAGGAAAGTAAGCAAGTGACATTAAGCTGAGGCGCAATTTTATATATCCACCTCCATTCATTTTGTCTTACCAATTTTAATTAAGTTCTGGATTCTCACGCTGTAGTTATTATAATTAGATCAGTGTTAAAGAGTTTTATAAGTTTTAAATGCATTACCAGCAGTTTTCATTTAGACCAAAATGAAAAAAATTAAAATTTGATCGCTTACAACTTGTTGAGAGCGCATCGGAACAGATAATGTATCTCCGTGGAAAGAAAGTGTAGCTATTTTCAACATTCTGCCTTGTTTACCTTATGAGTAGCAAGAAGATAATGTGAGAAAAAATGAAAATCTAGAACATATAGGCTTCGCCAATTTTTTCCATTTTTGAGTAGATTTTTCTCCTAAAGATATCTTTTATAACGAAGTAACGAACCAAAACCCCGAAAGTTTTTGTTAGAGAAACAGAGACGCTATCAGTTTATGCTTTCTCCTAGACATGTCCTTCGATCAATTGGGTACACCTTCAATATCAATCTGCATGTAAGGACCTCGAATGTTTCTGCCAAATTTAATTTTTGAGATCAGGAGAACGTGGACAACACGCACACGGACATGCTTAACTCGACACAGACTTTGACGCTGTGAAAAAAAAAAAAATACTTTGTGGGAGGTCCAAAAATTCCTTTTAGGTGTTGCTAACATTATGAGAAAGTGAGAACACTCCCATCTTTTAGTGGTTGGTATATAAAAATGCTATACAAATATATCAATTAAGTATGCCGTTTGTCCTGTAAAAAATATTTCTGTCAATGTTGCACACATTTTTAAAGAATTTTATGAATTTCAGCTAATGTTTAATCATTTCAGATCGATTTCGTAATACATTTTGATAAAGATAAGAAAGCCATAAAAGCGCCAACGGAAACGACAATGTTACACCGGATAACAAAGTATGTTGGTTGCCCTAATATCACTCAATTTTCAGTCGATTTTATTCCAACTTTTTAGGGTAGCTATTCTTTTGTTGAAACTTGATTCTTTTTGCGAGAATGACTTAAAAGCGTTACGTGGACCGGATTCCCTTAAGGTAAAACACTTGGAAATGATGGGATACAAAGTACTGCGTATTACTGAACATGAATGGAATTCAAAATATATGAACGCCAATCAAGCGAAACGAAATTACCTCAAATGTCTGTTACAAATAACTAACTGATTTAAGACTGATGCGCAACAACTGTTTTAACTAGTGCTTGTGGAGTTTTTTTATTCCCCCGATATAAAAAAAGGTTTTATTGAACAGTAACCCTTCTGTAGAAAAAAAATTAATTACGGAATTTTGTTCTACTTTTCATGGGAAATAGTAGACATAATTTGTCATGTAGCACAAACTGAATGTTTGGCAAATAAAGTTGCTTCCCTTTAACGTTCTGACGTGTCTTTTATGTGCTAGTGGAAAAAAAAACCAAAACTTAAAAAAAGAAGGAAAAGAATAAAAAGAAAAGAGTTTTGCGAAAATAAACTGAAATAAAAAACATTAATTGATATGAATGTTTAGTGAATTCATTTTAGAGTCGAAAACTATTCTTTTGTTTGCAATTTTGTATACTGCTTTTTAAAAATATACGTATTAAATAGTTTATCGTCCGGATTTTTCGTAAGTGTTCTCCGGGACAAAAGCTAACACAACATCAGCCTATCTCCCAATGGAGCCAAGGTCTGATCAGATTATTAGATGTAGAGGTGATTTCGAAAATTTTTATGTGAATGCCACTGAGAGTAATAAGAGATCGAGGATAGTTGGAGATGAAGTTGATGATTCAATAGTGCTCAGTAACCTGGTAGTTAATAAGCTCTCTGGATTGGGTGTCAACGCCATTTCTAATCATGAAATTAAATTGTATGATTGTATTTGGCAATGCAATTTCTTCGTTTGTGAAAATGCCGAAAGCATGCCTACGAACATCAGTTCGGATCTTTTCTTTTATGATTATCTTAAAGGTTTCAACATTAACGGCTTAAAAGAACTAAAGGTGGTTAGGAAGGGTAGGAATTGCTGTTCAGCTGTGCTCTTAATGCTACCAACCTCGCTAAATACAATGATTAAAAAAAAAAAAAAAAATTAAAAGCATATATTCCGAGGTCTTTCACGGAGAGATTCGGAGTTACTCGCAATGTCTCTAGAGAATCTGATGTAACGGAGATTCTTGAAAAAGTGGTATCCGATATTCCCATTAAGTCTGCTGTTAGGCTTCGTAGAAGAAATCCTAACAACATGGACGATTTTATTCCCACAACAACTATTAAAGTTAGGATTAAACGAAAAGTCCTCCCCAAAACGATCAAGTTCAGTTTTTGTAACATTTCCGTGGATTGCTTTGTACCCATCTTAAAGCAATGTGGCGAAATTCTGTAAAGCCAAGGAGATCAGGTATCTGAATTCTGGTAAGTCTCCTAAATGTACCGAACACTGTGAAAAGATGTCTGTCCTATGATTCAGGTGAATACAACACTAAACACGAACATTCTAAACACTCAAGAAGAGACCGCGGGAATTAAATATCAAGAAAATTATGGCCATTAAAAATCTTTCCCACAAAGAAGTGAAGGAGAGGTTTTCGTCATTGTCTAGATGCTAATTCCTACGAGGAGAATTCGTCCGCCATTTTGGCCAAGGATGATAAAGAAAATGTTAATAAGATTCTGACACAGAAAAAATTGAATGCACTCATTAAAAGCAAATCTGTTATTTCCAAACCTTCTCCCATTTCACCCCCAAGCCGTCAAAGGCATCAATTTCAGACGTATTCCTACAAATCTGCTGTTGACATCAATTATGAAATTATGTGATTTTCTTGATGATGAACAAAACGTGATTCTAGCTGCAGATTTCGATGCTAGGCATTGCTTGTATGGCGATCAGCTCTCGACCTTCCTTATAAATGCCGTCAATGCCAATAGTTTTAACGTTTTGAGTAATGGTAATATCTTTTACTGCAATCAGAGTGGTCACAAGGCTAGCAGTGTCTTGGATATCACCTTTTCTAATTCAACTATTTTATCATTCAACTAAAATACGATTAATATGTCTATTGGCAAAAGTCAACACTTTCGCATTTTATTCCATAGTTGCAACATTTCCGTTAAAAGTATACAAAATTTTATTTTACGATACTTCTTTATGGACCGTCTGTCGAAAATTGATCTTCCCTTCGATTTATCATCAATACAAAGTGGTTTTCAATCCGTGATCAAGTCTGTTAGAACCAACTTTTCTAATATTGAGTCCTTCTCACCTAAACGTTGCTGAAAGTCTTCCCTGTCAACACTCTTCGCAAATATTAAGTTCCAAAAAAAAAATGAGTAAGTATGCCAATCCAGCAAACTTCATTAAACATACGAAAACACTGAAAAAATAAAGGTTTGCATAAATAACGATTAGAAAGGCGAAAAGGACACATAGATGTATCACGATTAAAGAGTTATGCGGTAAGAGTCCCTCGTTTTCTCTGGAGTTATATCAATGGTCATCGACATTTTAGTCGACAATTAAACGGTTGGATTGTGTGGAATGACCATGATAATAAAAGGTACTTAGTTATGCTCAACAGCTGTATTTCAAGTTAATCAGATTGCAAAACATTTAATCTCTTTTAGTCGTCTCAACAATACACCCCTTTCATTGTCTGAGTTAATGTACGCTTTACATTACAGAACGAGAGCTACCGTTGCAGGTTGTAATGGAGGAAAGTGTGATATGGTAATTTTCTGTTTCGAATAAAAAAAAGAGATGCAGATAGTCAATATGTGTTTACACAGGATGTTACGTGAATCTTAACTGTACGATCGTCGCCTTGTTTGAATACGTGGTCACTCCGGCTTTTTTTTAAATGAAAAAGCAGACTTTCATGGCAAGTGATGGGATCCATGAAATATACCCTCAATGAAGCAATACGGGCAATTCGTAACCATATCTCTGAACAACAAAATGGTGAATTTAAAGAGTTTGCGCGTGTTTAACATTTATTTAATTTGTATCTAGATTTTTGTGCAAACTAGAAGTTTAAAAATTATTTATATATTTTAGGTTGTTGTGTTCATAAATTTCGTGTTACCAATCGTCGAACTTTGTACTTTTGTCAAATTTTCTTCTCTCTTTCTTCATAATTCACAAATGTAATTTCGGACTCACTTTATATTTTTTTTTATTTTTTAAAATTTGTGAATTAATAATTCATTTTTTAAAAAGTTTTCATGCAATTCTTTTGCAGATGTTTTTTTATAAACACAATTCTAAAAGAGAGATTTTTGGTAATTTTGCCCAAATTTGTTCTCAGCGACAGCGATTTTATTGCCGCTAGATTTAAGGTGATTGAGAGGGCGTATTTGGCGTTAACCGCCAGCAAATTTGTCAATATAATTAGATTCTCTTGGCGATTATCGTCTACTTCATTTCGCCTGCCTACATGGTTAGTCCCTGAAATTAACTTTCTGAATAAGTTTTATTTTTCGATGAGAAAAATACGACGGCAATCAGCATTGGCTCGAGAAAAGTTATAGTGACTCTTGCCGGAATGTGGTTTACCAATTTTAAATACAAAGGTATGCACAATGGCGGTGCTCAACGCTTTGTCTATTTCGAAAGGACGCAAAGTCGTTTTGGGGTATCGAGAAGCGAATTGCATGAGATATTAAAACAGTAACGCATTTACTATTTTGCATAAACATTTCTCCATGAGCTGGTTACTTTAGATCAAAGCAAAGTTTGGATTATTCAAGGCGCTGTTTAGGCGAATTAAAACGGATTTGTTCATGCGATATGTGACAATAGAAGAAACTTGAGCTTGAGACAATAACCGACGAAAGCCGTACAAAGCGACCAAATAAATAATGCCATTAGATTAATTGTAACTTGTAAACTACGAAATGTCGTAGAAATTAGAAGTATCTAAAAATTGTACGGGTTTATCAATAGTGACGATATATATCTACCATGATATGTCCTAATTGAGTGATGTACTATAAACTTCGTAAACAATACACATTCCTTTCTACCTTCTCCATCAAAATCACTTTTCTTCGGAAAAATTATTATTTTGGCAAATTGCATTTGAACGTTTAAATGTTTGAAAAAATTCTGCCGATGACTTCCTTCATATTGATCTTTACTTTACAATTTAAAATTTCTTTCCGGCAATTTAAAATTTTTTGGACTGGTATAAATTTTCTGTAGCGCTTACTACTGATTTTGCATATACCGCGCACAGAACACGTTCAGGTAAACCACGCATCGTGTCTTCCTACGATAATAGGCTAAAGTCTTTAAGAGGGCACATTACTGAACACTTTGCAGAAAAAATCCTTTTTTTTTTAAAGGAAGCTGAAGAAAAAATTTATAACCTGAAAGAAATTTCTCTTTTACATTTTAAAGTTTTTCTTAAGCGCTCCAAACAAAAAAACTGCTTAAGTCGAGAAAGTCCTTGCTGGAAAGTTACAGTCTAATGTGTTCTTTATATGTTGATTTCTCCTACGGCCCATTAATACATATCTTTGGGGAGTGCTTACGTCGTACTGTCTGTAATTTCACCAAATATACAACCCACAATGTGTTCCGGCTTCCACAGAATGAAGGAGAATATTTGAATTCGGAAAGAAAGAAGCTTTCATTCTCAAGAAGAAAGTCATTCATTACTCAGTATTTCATAGATTCGCATAAGTTGGAGGACGTCGATTCGATTACGGATTTAGGCGTCCTATTTGACCATAGGTTACGTTTTAACTTGCATATTGAGCTCTCGATTAGCAAAGCTAGGTCCGCGCTTGGTTTTATAAAAAGGTGGTCCAAAGAGCTTGATGATCCCTACATTACGAAAAGGCTGTACATGTGTTTGGTTAGACCCATACTCGAGTATGCCTCAGTTGTGTGGTCTCCTTCATATAGGTGCTACGTAGATTCAATTGAATCAGTTCAAAAGCAATTTTTGCTGTTTGCCCTTAGAAATTTGGGTTGGGATCCGATTGCCTCTCTTCCTCCGTATGAAAATAGGTTGCTTCTGCTGTCCCTACCGTCTCTTGAGAAACGTAGACTTGTTCTTGGCGTTTCCTTTCTAATTAAAGTAATAAATGGTGCTATTGACTCGCCTTCATTACTTGGTGAAGTAAGCTTCAATGTCCCTAACCGCTTCTCTAGGCACTTTATCTTGGTAAAGCTTAATCAGTGTAAATTTAATTATGAGCTGTTCAATCCGCTCAGAGTCGTTTGCAAGAACCTAAATGACGTCTACCACTTATTCTCGTTATCGGACTCTTTAAGGTCCATTAAAGCAACATTGCTTAATACGCGCGATTTACCTATGTCGTATTTAAACTAGCTTTTGTCCTTACGTCGTTACGTTTCGAAAGTGAATTATTGTCAATTTATTATCGG